TCGCAGTACCTGCCCCGCTGTGCTCTCTGTCCCCGTGGCCTTGCCGACTCCTCTCTGTCCCCGTGGCCCGGAGGCGGGGCGCTGCCGGAGGGCTCCGTCCGGAAAGCCGGGCTCCTCGTTAAGCCCGCGGTTGGCGTGGACGTGCGTTAGGAGAGATTTGCAGGAACCGTCCGGAGGCCGTTCTTTCTCAGCTGCAGCTTTGTTTTCCTTTTGCTTTGAACTTTAACTTCATTTGCTCTGAGGTGAGGGAGGTTTTCAAAGCGAGGGAGATCCTCCTTTTTTTCTTCTTCCGTCGTGAGGTTTTGCAGTGCCTTGGATGTCCAAGTGGTAGTGCTTTTAAAGGATGATTGGGCGGAATCTTTTCGCCCTAAAAGGTGTTTCTCCCGTTGAAGTAAAACTTGCCCGGAGTTGGGACGGGAGAAGGGGTGTGACAGGGAAGGGTGGGAATTAGAGAGGTAACGTGTGCTCTGCTTCCCCTCACCAGGCCAGTACAGTGGTAGCCGTTGGACTGACCATTGCTGCTGCAGGATTTGCAGGTGGGTTTGTGGTTTGGGGATGGAGGTGAAGTAGGGGAGGTTGAGGACTTTTTAATTATTCTATTATACTTTTTGTTTTTAGGCCGTTATGTTTTGCAAGCCATGAAGCATATGGAGCCTCAAGTGAAACAAGTTTTTCAAAGTCTACCAAAATCTGTAAGACTTCCTAAACATTTTTGCTAATTCTTTGCTGCCTGTATATGAAAACTAGAATTACATTTAAAGAGGGTAAATTTCCAAACATCTGTGAAGTTCTAAGTGATTACTTTGAGGGTCCCTTCTGCTTTCTACAAGGCGAGTTTAGAAGTTCTGAACTTTGTAGGTGCTACCCTAAAAAGTCAAATTTTGTGCGTAACAGAATTGGGACAGAGGTGTTAACAATCTTAGCATCATGAAAGTTACTATCACTTTTTTGTTGACACACTATTAACTTCAGCATTATCTGTCCACATCCCCCCACCCCCCTTGCATCACAGACACGGACCTAGGGCTCTGAAGTGATGGATTTTCACTGTTGTGGTCCTGGCACTCCCTAACATACTTGGGAAGCACTGCAGTTTACTAGGCTATAGACCAGCGGTTCTCAACCTGTGGGTCGCGACCCCTTTGGGGGTCAAACGACCCTTTCATAGGGGTCTCCTAAGACCATCGGAAAACATACATAATTACATATTGTTTTTGTGATTAATCCCTATGCTTTTTTTATGTTCAATTTGTAACAATGAAATTGGGGGTCACCATAACATGAGGAACTGTATTAAAGGGTCGCGGCATTAGGAAGGTTGAGAACCACTGCTATAGAAGATGCCTGGATGGGATGTAATGACACCATCTGTGGTCACAGATCAGAATGAATATGGCTGTGACAGCTTGCTGAGCATCATGATTGAAAAGAGGGTGATGGTAGGCTTTACAAATATTTCTTACATAATAAGGTCAGAAGACCTAATAGCCTGATTTTTCTCCATATATATCTTAATCTGAACCACTTGTCTTAAAGATCTCTAAATCCTCTTGAGGGACTTGTTCTACGACATAGTGATACTATGAGATGAAATTTTTATGTAGAACATGGCTAACTTGGAATCTTCCCTTCACTCCCAGAAAAACTGGCTTTGAGGCACTATTGTTTTGTTTTACATTTTCAAGACAGTTTAGGTTGTCTAGGGAAAAAATAGATATTTGATAATCATTAAAATATTTGTTGCTACTTATAAAGCTAAAGTACAAGTTATCGGAAATGTCTTAGTTTTCCTGCTAATTCTATGGACATTCACAGACATTTTTTTTAGCAGCTCTCAGTTTATTCTAATAATCTTTTCTTACTAATGCATTTCCTCTTTCAGGCCTTCAGTGGTGGCTATTACAGAGGTGGGTTTGAACCCAAAATGACAAAACGAGAAGCAGCATTAATACTAGGTGTAAGGTAAAATAACTTCTAATAATTTTTATATTTTCTACAACTCTAGAGCTATCAATAAATGTAAGAAAAACCTTTGTTCATTAGGAAGGAGTTATTTGTATCATGTCTATTTTAACATCTAAACACTCCCTACAAAATTCCAATGAGACGCACATTGGCACATAAGCACTTTTTAATTCATTGAAACATAAATGTGCAACAGATAACAGTGCTCAGTGTTGTTCTCTATAAGTTTTTGTGGGGAAATTCTGCCTTCATTCCCACATTCTTAAACATTCTTCCCAACAAAAGGACTGTTGAAATGAATATTATCAAGCTCTATTAAATTTTTGAGAATTTTAATTTTTCTAAGGAATTGTTTACTTCCGATTCAAAATATTCAACTTGTGTGATAAGAGGTTCCTAAACAGAGTTTCACACTGTTGTGTTGACTTACTCTAGTTTTGCATCTTTAATTGCCCTTTATGTACAATTTTTTGTGATCCAGAAGTAGTCTGAAATACCACCTTTTCCTTTTTAAATTAGCCCTACTGCCAATAAAGGAAAAATAAGAGATGCTCACCGACGAATTATGCTTTTAAATCACCCAGACAAGGGTAAGTAGTCATTAAACTCTTCATATGCATGTTGTAGTGACTTTGTAATTGTTATTAATGGGATAATTTATATCTAATTCTTGTCCTATAATAAGGGAAGTGCCTAAATCTGTGTGTGAGCACTGTCTCCCAGGCTGGATCCATTTGTCTTACAAGAATGAATTCTGAGTGAAAAATTTACTTACACAATAATGAGTAGATATCTAATAACTACTAGAATTTGGAAGTAGTGATAAGCATTAACAATGTTTTGAGGATCTGCAATTGTGATAAAATTTGATTTCTAATAGTCAAATTCTCCTGGCATTTGGACTACATTCTTAAATATTCAATTTCAGTTAATGAGACCAAAAGTATGAATTTATTCCTTTAGACCTTTGAACTTGAGTTTACATAGTTAGAAACCTATAGAATGTATTTATCAGTTTCTGATACACTTCTAAGAAGCTTTAGCTGTGTTGAAGTAATTCCTTGGAATGCCAAAATATAGACCACAAAATCTACATTATAGTGCTCAACCCCTTTTATAAGGAGAGGCCTTTCATTAAAAGGTCTTTGAGTTAAAACATAGTTGCAATTTTTTGGTATCTGACTGCATAGCCTCTTTTATGAAATTTAGTTTGTATTAACTGGAGGGCTTCTGACTAAAGTCTAGGGTGGAGCCCATAAATTCACATTTCTACCAGTCTCATTGATGCTGATGCTGGTTGGTCTAAGGACCACACTTTGAGAATTACTCCTTCAGCAGATTAGTAGGAAAAAGACTGTATATAACATTGTAAAGGGACAATAACAGGAAAAGAAAAAATATGAAGGGCAAAAAAAGGATCTAAAGCAATGTGAGGCCTTTCCAACAAAGCTCAGAAGCCTCTGAGAATATCAAGGTTTTAAAATAACAGAGCACAATAAATTTCTGTTCATTTATGACTTGTAATCATCACTATAGGTAGGTAACTTACATTATTTCAAAGTTATGTAAGTCTATATAGGTTTTGTGAAATTCTATTCGTCATCAGTTTAAACTTCTTTAAAAGTTGCTGGTTTTGTGAAATCTCATTTCCCATTGGTCAGATATATTGCCATATATGTGGTTATCCAGTCGCAGTATCGTAATTATTTTTTGGAATGCTATTTCTGCTAATTGCACCTCTCAGATAAGCATAGGGATCCTTGAAATGAGAATAGCTTTTCACCAGTCAGAAACTGAGACTCGATCTAATATTTCTTCTTTTTCCCTATAGGAGGATCTCCTTATATAGCAGCCAAAATCAATGAAGCTAAAGATTTACTAGACGGTCAAGCCAAAAAATGAAGTAAATGTATGGTGAATTTTAAGTTGTTAGTCATGTATATGAAAACAGCTTTTTATAATAAATGTCCTGAAGCTACACATTCTAAAAATGATTTAGCACAAACTAAGTCAAAGCCTTGGTATAAGTTTATTATTTAAATTTGAAGATTCTAAATCAAATTATAGAATATTTGGAAATTAATGCTCAATAATTATGGATACATACCATTTGAATAGAAACATTGTTCTATCATTACTCATTTCGTAAATAATTTGGTATTTACTTCAAGGCACAGTGAACATGAAAGCCTGCTCTCAAGGAACCCCAATCTGATGAGACCCATACACTAGTAATTAAAATGCAATGTGATACATATTATGATGGAATTAGTACAGGCTGTTATAGTACGTTAGGAGGAGAGACTGTCAAGGTATAGAGAGCTGGTTCAGTTGCTTAAGACTGAATGTAAAAGTGAGGTTAGCCACAACTCTGACCTAAAAAAGTTGATGTCATGTATATCACAGGCAGAATTCAGATTTCATACATTAAAAACTTGAAAAAAGAGTATGTCGTTCCTAATCAAGAAAATATTTACAGTGTGTTCAGCTAACACCTTTAAAAAACTGACCATTTGTAAAAATAATTTTTATATAATCAAGTCTTGCATTTATGATCAAGCTTGAACACGATTAGCTAAACTGAGATGCTCTGATATCAAAATACTTAGCTTGGACTCTGAGAATT